CATTCTACATCCTCCTCATGGTACGCCCCCACTTGCAATCTACTGTGATGCCTCCACTGGTCCTCATGGGACAACAGGGATTGGTGTGCTAATTCCTGATATAGACCTTGAAGAAAGTGAGTGCATCTCCAACTGGGCAAGCACAACTGATGCCGAGTCAGTAGCTATATATCATGCCATTAAGAAAGGTAGTGAACAGCAGCGAAACCTGGCTGTCTTTACAGACAGCCAAGGCGCTCTTAACAGGCTTACTGCATTTACTCCAGAAAACATGGTAACTAAGAATATCCTTCACCAAATTTCTAAATTATCAGAACGGGGTACCCAAGTGTCACTATACTGGATACCTTCTCATATAGGAATATCACTATGTGACAGGGCTGATCAATTAGCCAGGTTAGCACTTTCCCATGAAGATCCATACTATGTAATACCGCTATCTCTCAATCAAATGAAAAAAACGAGTTATCAACTGTCTTAGAGATTATGAGGATCAGGTATGGACCAATGAAAAAATGAAAAAAGACGGACATGGTACTATCTGGCACTACGAGAGTATTGTTGGGACATCAAATTTAGACAAGCCCTATAAAGTCTATTACGGACTGTCTCGGAGACAACAGGTTACATTAACTAGGCTACGCATAGGATATCAGTACACTATACAATATGTACAGGATGCAGTTTTGGATGCAAAACCTGTTTCATATCACCATTGCAAACTGTGCAAGGAACCCAAGTAGCATAATCTCACTCATTACTTACTCTGCTGCATAAAGACTGCATCCTATCGATCAAATAGTACTGTTCACAGAATAGCGCTTGTAGATTATATTAACTTTATTATAAACACTGGTCTTGTCTTTGACATGATTAGTGATGTAAAAGGTTTTTTACCAGTCAGATGATATTTTAATATTGTGATAATAGAACAGCCCTTCAGGCATGTATGTAACACTAATGTTTGACCAATGGCCCTCTACACAAATAGAAGCACAGCCAGTTTGGATAGATGCTTTGGTATCTTACCCTGGCTTTTTGCAGGGCATGTACACTGTTCTGTAAATAAATGTTATCAAATCAAATCAAATCTCTCTCTCTCTCTCTCTCCCTCTCTCTCTGTTTCCCCCTCTTCTTTCTCTCTCTCTCTCCTTTCCTCTCTCTCTCTCTCTCCCTCCCCCTCTTTCTCTCCCTCTCCCTCTCTCCCTTCCCCCAACCCACTCCCCGTTCACTCCCCATGAATCCGCAGTGTTCCTGTTGGCGCCGAGTATCACGAGGAATGGCCGGAGTGATCCTGAGGAGGAGGACCTGGTCGCCCTCGAGGATTTTGAGGATTATATCATGAGTAATGTTGATCCTCAGAGCATAAGGCAGATCTTGCGGTGAGTCCTGTTGCTGCTGAGGTTATTATGAATAGATTTTTTGATTGCTGTTGATGTTATTACTATTTTTTGATTATTATTATTATCATCCTTAAGTGCTATTATTTTTATTGTTATTATTATTACTGTTATTATTATTATTATTACCATTATTATTGTTATTATCATTATCACTATTATTATTATTATTATTATCATTATCATTATTATCCTTTTCCTTATTGATATTACTATTATCATTATTATTATTTTTATTGTTGTTGTTGTTGTTGTTGTTATTATTATTATTGTTATTATTATCATTATTATTTTTATTATTATTATTTTTACTACTAATATTATCATTAATATTATTATCATTAACATAATTATTATTATTATCATTTTTATTATTATTATTATTATTAATATTGCCATTAATATTATCATCATTAACATTATCATTACTATTATTATTATTATTATTATTATTATTATAATGATAATACTTGTAGTAGTAGTAGTATTAGGAGTAGTAGTATTATCATTATTTTTGTCATTATTGATATTATCATTATCATTATCATCATCATTATCATTATAATGAATATTATTAAATATTATCATTGTAATTATTCAATATTATCATTACTATTATCATCATCGGTATTATTACTATCATTATTGTTGTTTGTTGTTGTTGTTGTTATTATTAGTAGTAGTATTTTATTTTTGTTATCTTTTGTTATTATCATTATAATTATTATCATAGTAATTAACATGACCATTACTATTATTGTATAATTATTATCATCATTACTATTATTGTTATCATTATTATTATTATTATTATTGTTATTATTATTATTATTATTTTGTTATTATTGTTATTTTTATCATTATAATTTTCATTATTATTATTATTATTAATAGTAGTAGTAGTAGTAGTAGTATCCTTATTATTATTATCATTATTATTATTATTATCATTACTTTTGTTATTATTTCATCATTATCATCAATTATCCTCAGTCATCATCATCATCACTGATTTGTTTATGAAGTTCCTCGTTAGTCATCTTCTCTTGCTTGACTCGATTTCTCAATTTTCTCTCCCTCCGTCTTCCTCTCTGCTTCTGCCCCCCCCTCTCCCTCTCCCCTCCTTCCCACCTTCCTCCCCCCCTCTCTGCTCCTCCCACTCCCCCTTCCTCCTCCCTCTCCACCCCTTCCCCTCCATCCCCCTTCCCTCCCTTCCCTTTCCCCTCTCTTTCCCCTTCAACCTCCCTCCCCCCTCCCCCTCCCCTCCCTCCCTTCCCTTTCCCCTCTCTTTCCCCTTCAACCTCCCTCCCCCCTCCCCTCCCCTCCCTCACCCTTCCTCGCTCCCTCTCCGCCCCTCCCCCTCCCCTGCCCTTCCCTCCTTTCCCTCCCTTCCCCCCCCCCCCAGGAAACTGACCACCCTCCCCCACCTGGGCGGCACGGCGGAGGAGTGGCAGATGTCGGGCCTCATTTCTGACACGTGGCGCCAGCAGGGCATGGACGAGGTCCACATGGTGCCATACGAGGTTCTTTTGTCCTACCCGAGCAAGGAAGTGCCCAACTTGGTGAGTTGTTGTTTTGTTTTTTGTTTTTCTAGTTGTTGTTTTTTTGTTATTGTTTTACTAGTTGTTATTTGTTATTATTGTTCTTGTTATTGTTGTTATGTATGTTTTTGCTGTTGCTGTTGTTTCGTGTTGGTGTCTTTGTCTGGTGTCAAGAGATATAGGGATTGTAGTAGTGTTTTTTGTAATTTGTTGTAGTTGTAGCACTGTTGTTATCATTCGTTGTCGTGGAAGTAGAAATTATATTGTTTTTCTTTGTCGCAGTTTGTTGTAGAAGTTGTAGTGGTAGTATTGCTGTTTACGTTTATTTGTTTGTTATGAATTGTTGGAACAGCAACAGAAAACTACGTAAAAAAAAAAAAAAGAAAAAAGAAAAATGCAAAAAAATATTAGTAAAAAAAAAAAAAAGAAAAAAAAAGAAAAAAAATATATAAACAGAATCCAAAATGCGTAAACAACAAATAGAAATAGTAATAAGTAAGTAAATGAAAATAAAAATCCCGATTCCCGTTTTCTGTGACAGGTCCGCCTCGTCGACCAAGATGGCAACGCGGCGTGGACGTCGGCGGCCAAACAGAAGCCGTTATATTCCCCTGAAGAGTCAAACCCTGACATTCCTTTCACTTTTAATGGTTATGCGGCTCCCGGCAATGTCACGGTCTGTATGTGTATTTTGTTTAATAGATTTCGCATACATGCACTCATACACATGTGCATCTAGGAGTGCACTCGCGTAAACTCACAATCTATAATTATTTGTGTGTATACATGCATACAAAGCACAATCAAGAAAGATTTGACATAATGAAAAGATAAGAAATAAATAAAAGGGAAAACATGTCCGAACAGTTTTTCTTAAACTTAAAACAATCATACAAACATAAACACAAACTATATATATATATGTGTGTGTGTGTGTGTGTGTGTGTGTGTGTGTGTGTGTGTGTGTGTGTGTGTGTGTGTGTGTGTGTGTGTGTGTGTGTGTGTGTGTGTGTGTGTGTGCGTGTGTGTGTGTGTGTGTGTGTGTGTGTGTGTGTGTGTGTGTGTGTGTGTGTGTGTGTGTGTGTGTGTGTGTGTGTGCGTGTTTGTATGTATGTATGTCTTAAAGAAATGAAATAAGGAAAAAGGGGGTAAAATGGAGATAAGACCCGCACTAAGATGTCCAAATGTGGCCCCTCACCCGCCACAGGGCGACGTGGTGTACGTGAACTACGGCCGCTCCCAGGACTTCGAGACTTTGTCCGAAAAAGGAATCAGTCTCGAAGGGAAGATCGTAATCGCTCGCTATGGAAGGATCTTCAGGGCGAATATTGTGAGTATGGTGTCCTATGGTGCGCGGCGAATATTGAGTTGTGTGCTGGCGAATATTGTGAGTGGTGGCGGAGGGTGGTTGACTTAATGTGAGTTGGACGTGCTATGGTGAAGGTGTCCATGGTGAATATTGGGTGTGGTGTTGTATGGTGCGTGAGGAAGATTGTGGGTGTAATGGACTGATGATAACATTAATAAAGTTTTTTTTTTTTTTTTAATTCGGTTATAGCTATAATAGTAAAATTATCACTATACAATATTGGCATTTAGTGTCCGTGGTAAGTATAGTGAGTGTCGTGAGTATAGTGCATGATGAATATTGTGAGTGTGGAGTTGTATGATGTTCGATGATAATTGTTGTGGGTCAGTATTGTGTGTAGAGTGACTCTGATGAATATTATATGGTGTTGTATGGAGTGGTGCATATTGCGGATACAGTGTGAGTATAGTGCGGTGAATATTGTGGGTATAGTGTGTGTGGTGAATGATGTTGGTATGTTGCATGGTGAATAATGTGGGTATATTTTCCTTTGTTGATATTGTGTGCGTGGTGAATGTTGCAGGTGTGGTGTTGCATGGTGGTGGTGAATATTGTTGAGCATGATGCCTGAAGTGAATAGTTCAGATACGGTCACCACAGTAAATGTAGTAAGTGTGGTGTTTTGTGAATATTGCGAATATGGTATGCGATGGACAGAGTGACTGCGATGTAAACGGTGACTATTAGGAGTGAATATTGTTAGTGTGATGTGTATGGTGAACGGTTCATGTAGTGAGTAGACCTAATGAGCATAAACAGGATACGGGTGTTTGGCTACCCGCACGACGCTCCCCCACCCCCCTCCCTCTCCCTCTCCCTCTCCCTCTCCATCTCCCTCTTTCTTCCCCCTCTCCTCCCTCTTCTCTCTCCTTTCTCTCTTCTTCTCCCTCTTCGCTCCTCTCTACTCTCCCTCTCCTCCCTCTTCCCTTCTCTCTCCTTCTCCCTTCCCCTCGCCTCGCTCCCCCCTCTCCCTCTCCCTTCCTCTCCTTCCCCCACCTCCCTTCCCCCTTTGCTTCCTCTGTGCATTTTTTTTGTTAATGTATTTTTTCCAATTTCTAATGTTCATACTTGTTATTCGATTTGCTTTGCATATGACGGTGACAGACTGTTTCCTTACACAGGCTCTCCGTATCATCTCTCTGGGTAATCCTTAATTCAGTATAATAATATCAATACGTAATATTTTGTTGCTTGTGTCCTTTTTCATTATTATCATCTATTTTTTATTTCTGTGATATTCAGTTTCCGTCCTTACAACCTGCCACGGCGTCTGTATAGGATCCTCAGCATGGAAACGGCGCCATGACTCGCGGGTGGTTCATTCCACACTCGCTTGTCGATGGGCATAATGACAGAGCCTCTTCCCCAACGACTAATGAGTCTATTCTGTCTTCAAGAGTCATTTCCGCCAGCCCGGCCTCATGAAATTCTCATGACGGCATGTGCACGTCACCTCGCCATGTCGGTATGTTCATGTCATGTGTGTGTATATCCCCCCCCCCCCAGGCCCAGATGGCGGAGGGCCTGGGCGCCGTCGGCCTCGTCCTCTTCAGCGACCCGAAGGACTTCGCTCCCGAAGGACCCGAGTTCGTGTATCCTCGTTCCTACTTCATGCCGCCGTCCGCCGCGCCCTTCGGCACCGTCAAGCTCGTCGACGGCGACCCACTCACGCCCTTCTACCCCGCCACCAGTGAGTTCGCTCGGGGTGGGGCGTTGGTGTTGGTGGGGGTGGGGGTGTTGGTGGGGGTGGGGGGTGGAGGGGGTGGTGTTGGTGGAGGAGGTGGTGGAGGTGTTATTTTGGGAAGAGCGAAGGAGACAGGGTAATATCGTGGTACCTGTGCTGGTATTAATTCTCTATCTAATAATGTACGAGTTGGGAAGAGGTGGGGGAGGGGGGGGTCGAAATTTTTAATGTATGGATTAGTTTTGTTTCCGAGGAAGAAGAGGAAGAAGAAGAAAGAAAAAACAATGGTGATTATGATAATAGTGAAATTTATGGTGATAATTACAACCTCATTACTGATACTACTAATACTACTATTACTCCTGATAATAATAACAATAAGAGTGATAGTAATGACAACAATGGTGATAATTATAACGATAGTGATTAGGATGATGATGATGACGGCGATGATAATAATAACGATTATGATAATAATAATCATCATCATCATCGTTAGGGGGCATACGCATGGCTGCGCTTTGTCGCGCCCACCCTTTGCCTCCACCATCTGGGGTCCCTCCGAGCGAGCCTCCATGCAGTATTCCTTCCCACCCCCAGCACATCTTGGCAGATCTGATCGACTTGCTTCAGCCATGAGTTCCGTGGCCTTCCCCTTGGTCTTCTCCGGCCTGGGTCAGCCCTCTCGGAGATGACCCTATGAGCCGGATCTTCCTCAGGGAAACGAGACACATGCCCATAGAGTTGAAGTTGGCGCTCTCGTATCAGACTGGTCTTGCATCAGTCTCTCGGAGTATCCTATGATTGGACTTATGGTCCCTCCAAGTATACCCCATGATTCTGCGAAGACATTTAGTACCGAAGGAGTCAAGAAGGGCCTTCAGAGCACTGTTCAGTGTCCAGGTCTCACACCCATAGAGTAAGACCGGGATCACCAGTGCTCTGAAGAGCCCGATCTTAGTTCTCCTAGTCAAATACCGACAGCGCCGAATACTCCTATTGATTGAGTCCATAACGCCGTAGGCCAGTCCGAGTCGTCGAGTGACTTCCCGGTCGGAACCTCCGTCGCTCTGCACTACACTACCAAGATAAGTGAAGCTATCCAAGACCTCAATGTTCTCGCCACAGGCATGCACAGACTGAGCATCGACATCCAAAAAGTCCCCAAATTCCTGAACCTTGGTCTTGGTCCAGTTGACCGCGAGTCCCAACGGCTTTGCCTCCTCATGCAGCGCCTCGAGAGCTACTTCCAGGACCTCTAATGTCTCCGCTAGAATCACTGCATCATCGGCAAAGTCAAGGTCTGTGACCTTGAAATTACCAATTGATGCCCCACAGGAACTACGGTTCACGGTACGGCCAAGTATCCAGTCCATATAAGTATTGAAAAGGGTTGGGGCCAGGACACATCCCTGTCTCACCCCGGCAGACACCGGGAAGAGGGCAGAGATGCCCTCCCCACAATTGACAGCACTCTCGGTATCAGTACACAAGCCTTACAGCAAACCAGCGGTCTCTAGGCTGAAGAGTGGAAAGGCTGCTGGCGTCAGTGGGATTGCTGCATTGTTGAAGGCGGATGGAGAAGCCATGATCTGTGGTTTGCATGCAGTCCTGTCTGCCGTTTGGGAGACTGGTACCATTCCTCCTGACTGGAAAAGGGGCTTGATCATCCCTCTCTGGAAAGGGAAAGGGGACCAAAAGGACTGGCAACTACAGAGGTATTACATTGCTCAGCGTACAATAATAATGATAATAATAATAATAAAAATAGTTATTATTATTCTCATTATTATTATCATCATCCTTATTATTATCATTATCATTATTATCATTGTTGTTTTATTATTATTATTATCATTATTATTATTGTTATTATCATTATTACTATTTTTGTTGTCATTGTAATTATTATCATTATTATTATTTTTATTATTACTAGTCTTCTTATTATTATTATTATTACTATTATCATTGTTATTATTATTATTATCATTATCATTGTCATTATCATTATCATTATCATTATTATCCTCATCATTACAATTATGTGATATTGATGATGATGATGACAACAGCAACATCAACAATGATTATGATATTGATAATGATAGTGGTAATGGTAATGATATTGATAACAACGACAACAACAATGATAAAGATAATAACCCTAATAAAAGTTGTTTTAAAATAATAAGGATAAGGACACCGATGAGCCTTTTCTCCGCATTCCAGAGAGCGCCTTCCATATTCCCATGGCAGACGCCCCCATTCCTACCATTCCAGTCCAGCCCATCGGGTATGAGGACGCTTGGCAGATCCTCAGGTAAGCGCTTTGGGTGAATAAGTGTATCTGTTGCTTTTATTGCAGTAGGAAAAGGTATTTTATGCGGGGCGTATAATGGATTTGCTGTAGAGTATAGGAAAAAAGATATAGGTTAGGATGAAATATAGTATATATTAAAAATATTGTGTAGATAAAGAATAAAGTACATATAAAGAATTTAGTGTAAAGAGTATAGTATAGATTAAAAACAGAGTAGAGATGAAGACTTATAGCGTAGTGCAAGTTTTGATTAATTCAGATCCTGAACTGCTCGCAAAGGCATTTGTAGTCTCGTATATAAACTAAGCATCATCATGTTCACGTTAATGTACTCTGGCTCATGAATGCTGTGGATTAACGTGAACATATCGAGGCTTCTGGTGTAGCTAAGAGGTGAAAGAAAAGAGTTTGAATTTAAAGTAAAATATAAAGGAAAGAAGTTCCGTCCATTTGGTCTGTTTGAAATTCGCAAATCCTTGTTGCAAATCCGCTGAACACTAATGTACAGCATAAATGTTCGTGTAAATTGATGCATAATTTCACACACACCTACGCATATTGTAAAGGGATACATTTATTCTCGCATCTTGAGTGTCATCCGCCAAATAAAGCAAGCCAGCCACAGAAAGTTGCCCAATTTTGTTATGATAAATTATCTTTTTTCTCGTGCTAATAGGGCTTTCCCTCACCACCCCGGCAGCTTTTTGTATTGTTAGAGTAACAGCCAGTCGGGTAACTTCAAAAAGGATATATGTATGTCGTTCAAGACGCTGTGGTTTATTCATTAAGGTGAATGAACGGCGTCTGCCTAGACAATATGCTCAGCCATGAATCGGTTGCGGATATTAACGTTAATTTAAGTGAACTGTATGAAAACTCTTGTACCGAATTCATTGCGACAAATGTAGAAAAGATATGATTGACAAAGAATATCTTCACAGTATGATGATATACTCGAAACCGGTTAAATATGCCTTTCGTAGTGTGATGACATTAATGGTTATTCATATCTCCTCTGAGAGCTGGTACCTGTGCAGAAGGACCAAGCTACGTGTCTTCAAGGCCCTGATACTGCCAGTTTTACTATATGGTAGTGAAAGCTGGACGCTATCTTGTGCTTTGGAATCTCGTCTTGATGCCTTTAGTAACAGATCCTCGCGCCGGATCATGGGGTACAGTTGGCGGGACCATGCGTCCGGTACAGGACCTGTTACTTGCACAATCCGCGGTTGCCAACTCAAGCTATACGGCCATTTGGCTCGATTGGGATGACCTTGCCCACCAGGTTGTCTCTGTTCTCTGTTCACTCAGCAGGCACATTAAAAGTTAAAGAGGTGTGCAAGAATTGTTTTAGTCAACGCCGATTTTCCTCCCCCACTGAGTCGTGATATTTCATATTTATATAGTTATGTGCAATCCAGACATAAATTTAGACATATCCAAAAACATAAACACAAGCACATCCACACACAAAGCACGAGAACTTGCATCTACACATTCACAAACACACCCTTTCATATAAGAGAGAGAGAGAGAGAGAGAGAGAGAGAGAGAGAGAGAGAGAGAGGGAGGAGAGAGAGGAGAGAGAGGAGAGAGAGAGAGAGAGAGAGAGAGAGAGAGAGAGAGAGAGAGAGAGAGAGAAAGAGGGGGGGGGAGGGTTAGAGAGACAGAGAGAAAGAGGGA